AGTCTCCCAATGGTGCACTCATTGCCACTGTAATTGAGTCTATCTACCTTGCTGTTGGTTGTCCTCTTCTCTTTCTTTCCACCTTTCCCAGCATTAGAACTTTTTCCAGAGAGCTGGATCTTCGCATAATGTGTCCAAAGTAGGATAACTGAAGCCTGGACATTTGTGCCTCGAGTGAGGACTCTGGGTTGATTTGTTCAACGATCCATTGGTTTGTTTTCTTGGCTATCCACGGTATTCTCAGGAGTCTTCCCCAACACCAAAGTTCAGAGGTGTCAATACTTTTTCTATCCTGCTTCTTAAAATGAGAAGGACTTATTTTTATTCTTAATTTTTTAAAAAACAGATGTTCATAAATCTTTCAGCAGTTGCTTCTTATAGTGGCTGTCTGATGGTAGGTTAATAGTTCTGCACAATGAAGCTACCTGATATAAACTTAAATTCAGACTAAACAACCACCTCTTATACGGGTGGCTTCAACTGAGCTTTAGAATAGAATGACAAAGTAGGAAGGGATCATTTAGGCCACTGTGTCCAACCCTCTGTAGGAATACCAATGAAATCGTCCCAGACAAATGACTCTACCCTCCATCTCTAATACATCTCATGAATGGGAGTCTTTTTACCTCTCTCCGTAATTGCTCCACTTGAACTGTTTTTACCACTAGGAAGTTTTTTCTAATATTAGAATCTGCATTCTTGTAACTTACATCATTATTCCATGGATGTGTCAAGTCCCCTAATCATCTTCACCAATTTCTTTCATCTGTTTGGAGAACCCAGTTCTAATTTTTGTGGTATTCCACTTGATACCCCTTTTCAGTTTCATGAGGAACCATTGAGGAACACTTTGAGTATAACTTTTGAGCTAGCTTAATTGTCTTTTCATCTAATGTACACTTAACTAGCTTGCTCATCAGCATGTTATGGGTTGCACAATCAAATGTGTTCCTGGAGTAAAATATTATGCCTACATAGTAATAGTACACCGTAATAATAATAGTAATAGTACAAGGTATTGCCTGATTTTTAAAAAATGGGTAATTGGTTATATTTATTTACTTATATATTATATGTGATTATTTAATATATAATGATAATATTATAGTATGTATTATATAATAATACATTGTAAAATAATTTCTTATATAAAAGCAATCATAGCTATGGTTAAAACTTTTTTTTAAAATGTATTTGGAAATTTGTGGCTTTAAAAAAAAAATCAGCTGAAATTATTCAAAAGAATGCTCAGGTTTTGATTTATGCAGAAATCACCATCAGATAAGTTATTACATTTGAAAATTAAACCAAATTTTCAACCATGAGATCTGTCATTTAAAGTTAATCTCAATATAGAGACTAGAGACTGAATATGGCAGTTAGTAATAGGTATTATTAGTGACATGTTTTGGCTGTTCTCCTCTAACTCTAAAAAAAAACCCAGGGACATTAGTCTTACGAGCTCAGGTAGTGTGCAAAGCCATGATTTGGTTTAATTATGGTTTATTGAATCAACCACAACTGGGTTCATATATTATGATAAATTAAAATTGGTAGATAAATGCAAATGTTCCATTTCATGGGCAGATCATATCCAGAACATCACAACCCTTTTTCTTTTACACAATATTTACTTCTGGAAAACTGCTAGCTTTGAAATAACCTGAACAGCACAGCCAGGAGGAAGAACAAAATGGAATACTTTTCGCATCCTGAAAACCACAAACAAACTATATTATAACTTACTGTGTGTATGAACCCAGTCAGAGTATCCGATACCTAGAAACGGAGGAGAAATTTGTTCAGTACATATTCAGATCGCTATACAGTACAAACTGAAAGTAATTCTTCTTCAAAATGCAGACCTCACTCTGTTCAGCGATGCAATTCTTGAATCCAGAAAGGTTTTACAGTAGATAAATTAATGAAATATATACAAAAACGCTGAACAGGGTGGAGTGGGGGGATGCATATATGAGGCTACAAAATGTGTTCACTAGAAGAAGTAGGAACACAAATATATTCAAATTTTGGTGTGACTTTAAAAAAATACTCAAACAGAAGCAAAAATGGATTAAACCAAAATTAAAATGGAAAAATGAAAGAAATAGAATTGACAGATTCACTCACCTCTAAATAGGCTCAAGAGGCTACTGGGAGTCAGGCAGGTAGACCCTCATTTTTGCTGCTTTTGTTCTGGATATCAATGGGCTGACTGGTCTTTCCCTTCCCAGGATGCTGCATAGATCTGCAAGTGGATGACTCATTTTGACAAAGACTTGAGCAAAGGAAGCTCAAAGCTGTTTGTGAAGCAGCAGTACCCTCTTACTTCTAAAAGTGAAGTGGGCATGTTTCAACCTCCTCTGGCACCATTAAATGTTAGAAGGATATTGCATATGCACAGAAGCCTCTTTGTACTATTGCAAATGCCAGTTGAGACTATGCAGTGATATGATGTGCATTGTAGAAGCAAATCAAAATCATTTCACACTGTCGGCCTTGTGAGATTGTCCAGACAAGAAGCACATCCAGAAGCACTAGCTTTAACTTTATTGTAAGTTTACATTAACAGAATCTTGCAAGTCTGAAAGTACATCTTTTCCCCCACCCATCTTTACAGTCCAAGAAACTAGGGAGGGTCCCTTCTGAGACATTTGCCATGCCCCCATTCCATCTGTGGACTCAGCTGCCACTTGTCTGACCACTATCTGGTTTATGCTCTTCCACCTGTCTCCCAAGGTCATTCCCACATACCATTACATGCATGGGCCTAATTCTTTATTTGAGAAGGCACAATCTGCTATGGCTTTTGGTCCCCTGGCAGATAGCATGGCCTGAATCCCAAAAATTACTATCTAAGTATACCTACAAAAGAGTAGTGATGATGTTATTTCTGTTTGTATCCTGTTCCTAGGTCAGAAAATGCCTAATTTGTTTGGAGACAGACTGGAGCACCTAGAAGAGGAAGTCAGACGTCTCTCACAGTCTTATGACACCCTGTACAACATGGTGAGTGGCTTGGGGGATCACTTGCGGCTTGCAATTCAGGAAGATACTAGTAAAATGATTGGATCCCTGATGAATAGCCCAACTGTTCCTGATTCAACCATGGGATTTGGAATAATTCCTGATGGGATTGTGGATGCTCCAGACAAAGCTGAGCTCTCCCCTTATCCACCTGTGGGTGAGATCCTAAGCAAAGTGACTGAGATGAGTGATTCACTGAAAACCAAGACTAACTTACTAGAAGAAGTTCATGGCATGGTCCTAGACCATGATGGGCAGATCAAACACTTACTGGAATCAGCTCGGCCTTCACCACTCACCTCAATCGATATGTTAGAAGAATACATAGACAGCAGGCTTAGCAACCTGAGGATGGAACTTTTGGATGGCTTTGAGAAAAAACTGATAAATATTCAGAGTACATGTGATTACCAGATCAAGGAAGTAAAACAGCAGTGTGAGGAAGAGAAAGCTGCCAACCTCCGTTTTCAACAGATCTTGGATGGCAAAGAACTGGAGATCAAGAAAGACATTTCTCAACTGGAAACACAGATCCAAGGACTGACAGTTGTAGAAAACTGCTGTAGCAACTTGAACTACCTCACCAAACGGATGGATATCTTGGAAAAGGGACTGCATAGCATTTCTGAGTCTCAGAAGAATCTACACTCTAGGGTAGATAATGAATTGTCTCCTGACACTTTGGGGAGTCTCTTTGAAGGACGCTTTGAGGACCTTGAGGCTAGGCTGAACTTCACAGAGAGGGAAATAGGAAGTTGTTCTAATGTAGAGGACAGCATGAGAAGTTTGATGGGATCAGAGCTAGATGGCACAAAAACTTTTTTTGAAAACAAAATGAGAACCTTGGAGGAGAGATTCATAACTATTGTAGGAGATGTGAATAATATCAGTTCCGCAGTGGGACTAGATGGAGCTGTAATGCCCCTCTTGGAAGGAGAGCTTGCTACCATAACGAGGGAAACGGATGAGAAAATGGAAGTACTACAAAGCCGACTGACTACCTTGGAGAGCACTTGCTTGTTGGGTTGCTCCTCCACATCCAAAGATGTAGAAATCTTTCGTACAGAGATAGAAGATTGCCAAAACAAGAACCAGGATTTACTGCTAAGGATGGACAGCAACTCAGACCTGCTGCAAAAACTCAATGTTACTATCCTGGAGATCCAGAGACGGATTGAGGAGGAAACAGCTGGGTCCTTGCAAGGTGAGATCACATTATTAAAGATCAATTTGAACACCATGACTAAATCTCTAACTGGGCTGAAGGATTCTGTTTCCCAGTACTCTGACACAGTACTGCATGTCAATTCATCCTTGGATGATCGTGAGCGCAAGATAGAAGATGAGGTCCATTCACTTCAGGAAAAAATCAGTGATCAAGACTCCCAGCTCCTCTTCAGTAACAAGCGTGTCTTGAACCTAAAGGGAGACCTTGAAAGGCTGAGATCCAGAATCATCAATGACTTGAGCAATTGCAAAAGTATGGCTCTCAGCCTGCAGAAAGAAGTGCTCCAATTCGATGACCGCGTGGCTCAAATGGAACACACGTGTGGCAGACTGGGCACAATAACAGGAAGCCTGGAGCACATCAGAAATGAATTGGAGAACAATGCAGGAAGTATGTGGGGCTATATGAATCATATTAACAAAACTCTAGCTACACACTCTGAGGAAATAACTGTGCTCAAGAATAACTTGTTGGATTGCCAGGCAAAAGTCACAGAACTAGCTGAAGATGTTGGTCTCTTAGAAATCAAGCTGAAAAGCAACCAACATTAGCTATATTGGATCCAAAGTACACCTAACTTATATCATACAGACTCCAAAATGATGGTACCAGGATTTTGTTTTTATTTTGGTTTTGGAGAAGGGGAAGGTCACTAAACTTTAAAAGCTGCTATAATCCTTTCCCTGATTTCTTCCGTATGACTTTTTAATTACAGTTTAAGTATGTTTGCCATTACTGTACTCTCTACAGATATTTAACAACTGTACTTATGTAACAAAGTGCCTTCCCATATTTGGGGTCACATTTAGGTTACATTTCCAATACATCAGTTCAGGAGGAAACTGGAGACATTTTTAAAATGGATTCTTTGCTTTGAGAATAATTCACAATGTAATATTTAAGGGTTGGAACAAAGAAAATCATGTATCCATCTACTGGAAGAGAAGATCTGGTTCAGGGACCATAATACAATACCAACAGCCATGTGGAGGCTCCGATTTTAGCTAAGATTTCCCTCCCTCCCCCAATGCAAAAAAAAAAAAAAATGTCCAAAATATGGGCTTGAATTCTAGCTTCAAGTGACACAAATATGAGGGGCAGTCATGTAGATCAGCTGATATTATATGGGTGTATCCAGTAAAAGAATGCCCTTGTACAGCACACAGTTATCTTCCCTATTGCACTGTCCTACAATGATGAAGCTGAATTTCTCAAGTTGATATTCTCAAGGACTGTGTGCAATCTGGTCTTTGCATGAAGCATGGTGAGGAGCGGGTCACTGGGCTAGATCCAACAGCTTCTTAGATAGCCTGTTGCAACCCTAGGAACAAAAAAAAAGAAAGTGTGCATAATATAGTGTTGTAACATTTGCTCCCTGTAACTGTTGCTCCCTATTTTTGTATGAAAATGGAAGAAATCCAGCTGCATAAGATAACATTTATTGCACCCAATGTATTTTAATCTGATTTCTTCTGGGGCACTCTTCTATTTATTCTCATTTATTTATTTTCAAGAATGATAGCCTTCTTTTCAAAGGAATTGCTCTTGAGGTAGTATAGCAGCAATGGCATGTAATAATCCAATTTAGCCCCCAAATTTTGTTTAGTTCACATGTACTTTATTTTTCCATTTCAAACCAATGTACAAATAGAGATGCATATATTTTTCAAAAATCAAATTACTCCCCATTCAGCAATACAGTATGTGTTTATGTGTACATGTACACACACACACACAAAGAAGCATGCATAAGCATGCATACATTAGTGAAAGTATCTCACAAAAATGCTTTAAGTAAAAATACATGTCACAGAAAATTTTTATTATAAGCAATATTCATGAAAATACATTCAAATTTTTATGGGAATTTGTTTTGAACTCATGGTGAAGCAGGATGGAGTTGAACTAAATTTAAAACTGAAAAATAAGAGAAATCAAACCTAATGGATTAATCCATTGCTAATTAGGACTACCATTAGATGCTCAAGAGAATGTGAGAAGAACTCACATAAGTCTCAGTAAGAATACTCTGTTCTGCAGCTGAAGGCCTCTTCTATGCTTTTCTCCTGTGATTGGACCACTTTTACATTCTTGCCCCCCAAAGGAGCAGTTTCCACATGAAGACTATATAAAATTACTGGGCAATTCACACGGTATCGCATAGTGGCTAGAGAAAATGTTTCAGATACACATATGAAGGGCTTGTTGTACAGTAATTAAGAGCAAGTTACACTGGCTTGCATTTGATAGCTATAGCTGGATCCAGAGTAGGAAAAGTGCTCTGGATCCAGCATGGGTAGGCTCATAGTACCTGTGACTGTGGCTTTTTCAGGGAGTTGATGACATGTACAGCAGGTGTGCCCACACCAGGTCTGAAGCACCTTTCCTCTTTTGAATCCAAATAGCTGCCCTTTCCTTTGGGGGTCCTAAAGTGTTAATTCCCAGATGTGCTTTCTTCACACAACATTGTGGACTGATTTTTTGCCATCAGCTTGGTGTCAACTGTTAGCAGACACATAGATTAACATTCTCCAGAATGAGCTGTCACTAGCCTGGCCCCTCAAAATTTCCAACAAGCCACCCATCACTGCTATAATCAAGTCTACCCACCTTACTGCTGGTTGTCCTTTTCTTCTCTTTCCTTCCACCACTCCCAGCATTATACATTTCTGAAGTGAGCTAGGTTTTCGCATAATGTGTCCAAAATATAATTTGAACCTGGTCATTTGTGCCTCAAGTGAGAACTTTGGATGGAACATTATGCTCATGCTTATATGAAGAAATGGAAGGATAAATAAGACTGTACATAGAGACTGCAGCAGAGGGAATCTTCTCCTCTTCTGCTCACATCCCAACCATTCTTTTAGCTAATTTCATACCATTCTTCCCTGTCAGCTGCTAATCAAGAGTATCAAGAGAGACTTTCCTAGTATAGCTGTAGCATTCTTCATGGTTAGGCTGCTGGCTCCTTTTCTAGTTCTTTCCTGGGCAAAATGATCATTGCATCACATTTTTCTTGTTTGGTCTAGCAGCCTAATGAGCAATCAAGAATGACCTACTCTTGCTGATGAATAATACCCAGGGAATTAACCTAAATTAGCAATTTATTCCAACATACAAAAAGAAGTGGTTTTAACACCCCTTCCCAATAATGAAACGGAGCAAAATTAAAAATCAGAGAAGAAACCCAACACTCCAACAACCCAACTTTACTTTTATTAAAAGTAAAGAAATTATCCTAGTACATCTTGTATCTATTAGGAACCGATGCTTACCAGAAAAAAAAAAAAAACCCCTCTCTGTAGCCTAACCTTTGCTCTAAATCAGAGTACCTTCTATTCATCTTTCTCTTTCCTTTACTTTGCAGGGCTGTTGTAAAGATAATTTAGTTAATGTGCATGAAATGCTTTGAACACTTGAAACCAGCTTTGTAAATGTTGCTGTTTTTATTAAACTCAGAATATATATCCCATTATGTCAGACAGTATAAGCATGCGTACTGAAAGAAACCCCACTCAGAAACACATGTGAAACCTTTATGATCTTTGCCCCCAAATTCCAAGACCCCCCAACAGAACAATTAAATGTTGCACTGCAAGGTTATTCAGCAAGCAGAACAGGAGAGCCCTGCCATCAGGGAAGGTACAGTGGCTGCTTCAGGCAGATGATCAGGTTGGCCAATGTACTGATCTCAGGACTTCACCCAGTGCCCTCCTGATGCAAGTCCAGGAGAGGCTGGCTGCTTCAGTGCTTCACTCTGAGGGCTCCTCAGAGCAAATGTGAGTCTGCAACTCCCCAATGTAGCTTGCTGCCTTGGTCCCTTGCTCTGAGAAGCCCCAATAGCAACGGGTTGAAGCTGTCTCTCAGAGAACTCTACCTAGCAGCTTTTCTCCTACTGCAGCGTATGCCAAACCCAAAGAATCCATTCAGAGTGGATGTTCGGAAGGAGGCGAGTGAGATGGCCACGGCAACCATCCAGGATGTTGAAGAGCCCAGAGTGTCTTGATAAAATGGGAGGTAGAGGTTGGTAAGCTAGAAATGTTATGGCACAGACCAGCAGTTGAATAAGAGCAGTGTGCTCTGGGCCTCCCCTAAGATGGAACGGACTACTTCTCTAATCTTCTCTTTTGTTTGCCTTTAGTGGCATTAGTCATTATGAGTGATATCCTCAACTCAGTCCACATTTTCAGAGCATTCTTTGTTCCCTGTGAAAAAGGCATTGGTTTCACTTTTTCCCGCCTCTTTTGTAACAAATTCTCATGGGGTAGAGGTGTGGAGAGGTTGGAACTTCTTTTATTAGTGGTTTCATAATTAACATTTTTGGGCCTGGCAATAGATCTTACATACATTTACCAGAAGTAAATGTATTTACTTATATACATTTACCAGAAGTAACTGGTTTCAATTAAACTTACACTTAAGCTTATCTAAGATTTTGAACATGGAATGTAGTTCAGCATTCTGAGTTCAAACATCCACATTCTATGAAAAAACTTACAGATGGACATGAAATCATAGTTGCATCCTGTTTACTTCCAGGTGTCAGGGGTACAACAGTTCTAATGCAGAGGGTCCATTTGGATTGTTATGGTTAAAGCCAATGAATAGACCTATTTCACTATTATATCATCTCTTTCCTTTTCTTGGAAGTATTATTACATTACTTGCTATCATCACATGTTGTTGGGATGACCTCTAGTAAGTCCATTATCACAGTACATGATGTATTTCCATTTGTCTATTTCAGACCCATACAACCTTAGCTGGGAGTCTCCTTCACTGAGAAATGCAAAAAGCGATGATATGGGTAAAGTGATTTACCATATGCAAATATACACCGTTACCTCTAATTCTAGTTCTATATGCATTGGCCCATATTGATCAGCAGCTGGATTATGTGGCAGGAACCTGCAGTGAATGATGAGGCTACATGCTTCCTCAGTTTAGCCCCTTTCAAATGCATTTGATTATAAACCCCATCATCCCATTGATCTTGCTGTCTGGGGATTATGAGAATTGCAGTCAAGCTCATCTGAAGGGTATCAGACTGGAAAAAAGCTGCTATAGGGAAGCGTACATGGTAACATCTTTTAAATGAGGCCAGTTATCTTTGAATGTCTGCACAACTGATTTACCAGTAGTTCATATTATGTGTAAGGCAGATAAAAGTTTAACTAGGGGATAAAGATAAGCTAGCTCTCAGTAATCAGTATATAATTAATATACTTTAAAGCCAAACTCATTATTTAAAATGATATGACAGCAAGTGGCAACTGTCCTACAGCCAATTTCCAATAGATCAGAATAGTGCTAAATTAGGTAGAAACAGAGTAGGCATGAACCCATCTTTCAACAGTGATGCTAACACTTCCATTTATTTCTTAGGCTTGGACTTGAAGTTTTGAACAAACTTGTAGTCCATCAGTTTTCAGACTGTCAGTTTTAAGACTAAGTCACTTTGCTGAAGTTTTCAAGAAACAGGGCATTGTGTCTCTTGTGAAGAAGGATATAAAGTTTGTTGTTTCTGGTAGGCTGTGGCCATAATTGTAACAATGATAACCGTTTAGTCCAGTTTGTATTTTTTTTTTTTTTTTTTTTTTTTTTTTTTTTTTTTTTTTTTTTTTTTTTTTTTTTTTTTTTTTTTTTTTTTTTTTTTTTTTTTTTTTTTTTTTTTTTTTTTTTTTTTTTTTTTTTTTTTTTTTTTTTTTTTTTTTTTTTTTTACAAAAAAACCCACAACATGTTGTACATTTGTTAATAGTTAAAGCTGAAATATTGTTTGTATTGGGGGTGGGGAGAGAGGAGACTCTCACCAAGTTTTCCAGAATTGTATTACTGTATCATCTTCTAAAGATAAATTCCCAGAAAACTATACAGAAGTTTAAGATACTGAGAAAATGAAACAAAATTGACCAGCAATGTTATTTTCTGGATTATTAGTAAAAACTGGAAGAGGAACAGCATGTGTAGATACAGGAATAGGTTTGTACTTTATAGCAGTTACAACATTTTGATTTGCAAACTCAGCTTATACACTACCAAGCTAAGAGGAACTATGCTGCTGAAAGGAGGCCTAGATTTGTATAACATTTTCATATGTGCACATTTGGAATCAATCATATAACTTAAATAGAACTACATCTCTTCATTATGGGCAAGCCCATGTCCAGGTATTTGGGGTGTTTCCTCATTCTTTTGCTGGGGAACTTCAAAGCCCCTCCTAGTCTCCATTCTTCGGCTCTGTTATCTTTAAACTAAGAGTTGGACTGGACAAAGCTTTCAAAGGGGGACTTTGTTCTCTGAAATAGAATACATCATCTTTCAGTTTTGGAGACAATGTACAATTACTATCTACCAGTTTTGAAAATGATATCTTGGTTCCTCCATCCTGCACATTTATGTGCATCATGGCAATTTCTGATGATTTAGGATTCTTTTATTTGGGTCTTCAGTCTTTAAAACCCCAAATCTCAATTATCTGAATATATTGTTTTTGCCAAAAAAAAACCCCTAAATGGTTGTGTCCCTGTAGTCTCCAGGAGTTGAGTTTGACTCAGTATGTTAACCTTTTTATATATTATGCAAGGTCAAAAACAAACAAATCACTTTATGGTTTAGTATGTTGAGAAAGCCCAGTCAATTGCAGCTTATTCAACAAATCAGGCTGATAAAATGTTCTAATCCAGCCACTGAGTGCTGGTAAGAGTGTGAATCTTTATGCAAAGTAATATAGCGTAAGTACTAAAGACTAAGTTATCAAATATATGATGTACAGTATGTACTGTATCTCCTAGTCACACCAGAGTTTGTGTGTGAATAAATGATCTATTCCGATGAAACCTTACCTTTCTAGCCTTAGAGCACTCTAGAGCATATTCTCCCTCCATGCCTAAAAGCAGGTATGGGGAGGATAGGACAATTTAGATTGTGACCAGCCTTTGAAAGCCATTCTTATTATCAATAATTTCGCCATCACCAGCAAAATAAAGCAAAGGGGAGGAATATATAAAAGACAGTGAATCTTCTTCAAAGAGAAGGGTATTTTCTGTGTCTGCCTCTCTGCCTGCAGCTGTTAATAACATATGACACTCCCAAATAGTACAGACTTCTATAAGGAAGGTGTGTCTTTTCCCAACAGATGTACCATTTGGAAAGTAGAGAAAACTAGACAAGTAGAGAATATTTTTCAGCAGAAACAAGGAACCAAATACGCAACCTTTCCTCAAGAAGTTAGTCTTCTGCTTCAGGTTGTAGGCTTCGTTATACATACTGCCTTTTCCCCTTAAGGTTCTAATCACTCTGCAACATGCTTTAATGTGAAACAAAACAAGCTGGTGGAAGCTTTCCTCCATGTAGGAAATCCTATACAGTATTGGGATTCCACAAGGATTCTATGGGAAAAAAATGCTTTTTCAAGAATCTTTAATTGTGGGTGAATAGTACTTGCTTCTTATGAATTAAATATCTGGGTTTTAAGGCAAAGAGAGATGGAAATCAGCTTCTTCTCCTCAAGTGAGACCAAAAGTGGATTACTACTTCACTATAGGGAAGAGGGAGGCCATTGATAGCCTGCATCATCAGCCCCCTCCGTATTTGAACTCTTGATGTTTCCTATAGGAGACACAATGCACCATACATCATTCAAAACCAATTGTAGTTCTCAGCTGCCCTGACCCGAGATTTGTAGCTCCTATTTTGGACTAGCAAGCCAAACTAGATTTATAGGAGCTGGTGCCTTAAAAATGGAGTATTAGGAAGGCAAACCTGGAGAAAAGCTAGTAGTGTGAAAACTAGGGGGTAACCTAGCACTTACTACCTGATTGGCTGGCTTGTGTCTCTCATGTTTGATACTTGAGTCAGATATAAATGCAGCACATGCTGCACTGTTTCATTTATATATGTCAGCTAAATAATATTTACATTCAGGAAAAGAATAGATATATCAATATGGTTATCTCAGAAAAGAAGACAGCTCATAGATTTTCCTTAGAATTATCTCCAGAGACTCCTTTATCTGAGCTACTCCTTCGAAATATATGCCATCACCATAACATGCACCAACACCTGGTATGTATTACTTAGATCTTAGGGCTTCCTCCCTTGGAAATATGCCCAGCTGGGTTTGGGATGTGGCACCAGCCATGGCTCCAGGTTAGGAGTAGGAGAGTGGCTATCATCATCTGGAAGATGTTAGTGGCTTTTAGGTGCCACCCTACAGTTAACAAATGTGAGATCCTTTTTTGAAAGTAGGCTCTAGGGATCATATGGGATTGCTGCTATTCTACTAGGCTCCCTGCTGTGTAGTGGCTTATCTACTTGGGCTTCTTGAAGCTGTGGCCAGGTTGGTAGTGGAGTACCCCCAGATGTATGGCCTTGGGAGACTTCAACCTGACTAGGGATGGAGTCAGAGTTAGCTTAGGGGTTAATGGCCACCATGGCAGCCACAGACCTGAGCCAAGTCATTGAGGATCTGACACACCGAGAGGTCATGTTAGATTTTATTTTTCCTCCCTGGCCATGGGTGATATAATCTGGATATGGCTCCAACATCACTCCCCTGCCATGGTCTGATCACTCTGATCAACTTGGAGTTTTTTCTAGCTATCCCCCCACTACAGGAAGGCTGGACTTATTTGATCAGACCAAGCACCTGATGGACTCTATTGGGTTTCAGAGGGAACTTAGTGGTTATCCTGGGGCTCTGATGCACAGTTCAACTGAGTCCTTAGTAATCACTTGAAACAAAAGTGTAATGCCAAGCTTGGATCAGATTGCATCTGTGCAGCCTCTACCTGTTGTGGATACCAGGGGCTCCCTGGGTTTTGGAGGAATTCCAGGAGATGAAACTGCAGAAGAGATGCCTAGAGTGCCACTGAAGGAAGACAAAGAGTGAATTTTACCAAATGCAGGTAATAGCCTTTATTAAAGAGTACCTAGTAGTGATAAGAGCAACAAAATATTATTTTTCCACTCTTATTGCATCCACAGATAGCTGGCTAATGGCCTTGTTTAAGATGAACTGGATCCTCCTGGGGAGGGAATGCCCAGAGGAACACTTGTAGGATTGCTGTAAGGAGTATTCTAGGCATCTGGCAAATAAAGTTGCTCAGATCCAATCAGAGCTGGACTCTCCTGTGTACATCCTATGGAGCTGAGGCATGGTCTGACTGTATTATCTGGGAAACATTTGAGCTTGTTGATCCTGAGGTAATGGATAGAGTCCTTGAAACTGTGTACTTGGCAACCTAGAATCTAACCTATGTATCAGGAACTGTGACAAGGCCACCTGGGAGGTGATAAGGGGCTAGATCCAGGCAATGGTTAATTCATCCCTGGGTGAAACTGTGAATGTCCCATCTTCAAGAAACCATTGCTGGACCCAGTGATACTGGAGATTTCCCCCCATTTTTCCTCTCTTTTTTAGAGAAGGTGGTGGAGATGGTGGTTGGGCTGCAGCTTCAGAGGCTGTGAAGGATATGGATTATCTGGAGCCTTTTCAGTCAGGATTCAGGCCCGGGCATAGTACTGAAACAGCATTGATTGCTGGGAATTGTACAAGCAAGGTCTTTTTAGATTTAGGGTCTCATAGTGAGAGGGTTCTATAAATTCATTCTATATCTAACTGGCTTTAATGCAACTGACTTTCAGATAACCAATGATGGTTATCAGGTTTGTCTAATACTTCAAATCTGATCTGTTTGCATTAATTGCCAAGCAACATGGCTGCCATTCTAATGAGACCAAATAACATCAAATACAGAATTATTATTATTTGTATTATCTCTCAGAAATACTGGCATCCAGGTAATGTTTGCCAAACTTTGCAATTATCTCTATCAATTTTTTTAGTAACTATATTTATAACCAGGTTACAGGATCAGATCACGATCTACATTATACAATATTCTACTCCCTGGACTGGCCAACTGCATGTCTATGAGAAGACTATAGGTAAACATAACAACTAAAGCCTGCTCCAAAATTTCTTCTCTAGCAAATAGTGCTCAGAAAGGTGCTACTTCTATCCTGAAAATACTGTATGACTGACATGACTAACAGCCACAAACTGCCTTACCTACCACAAATTTGTCTAATCCCTCTTTATCTAACTTGGTGGTGGCTATCATATTTTACAGATGGAAATTCCACAGTTTTAACGATGTGTTCTCTGCAATAGTCCAGATTTTCCCTTTATTTTGAATATCTCACCATTAGCTTCAGCAGATGATCCCAATCTCTAGAATGATAAGAATGATCTCTACATTATCAACACAGATTCCAAAATGTGATAATATTAGAACAATGTTTAAATAGTATCGGGACTAAAAACTGGAAGTCATTATTGCTTAGGATACCACACAGCAACACTGATGATAAACATAATAGTTTTACATAGGGTTTATGAAAATACCTTCTGCAGTTTTTCCAGGGACTGGGGTTGAGACTGTTCATGTCACCTACTATCTGATCCTTTTAACTGAAGATGCCAAAGTCTGAACTTGGCATTTCCCACACACAGAGCATATACTTCACAACTATGAATAATCTCCTCTTACTTGATAGAAAACAAGTTCTAATGAAGACCACAAGAGATTCATAAAATGTTGCATATAGTCACAGATTTTATACTTTCTGCTCCAATTTGTATTCATTATGGACTGGCAGATGCCTCGATATAATAAATGGCTCATAGGACTTGAGTGAAACTAACCCTTCTTAGTTCATTGTACTCTGACCTAGGTTTGCAAAGGAGGAAATCACATGTAAGGTAGAACAAGAACTGGTCCCCTGAATCTAATTTTCATTAAATTCACAGCAAAAATATCAATGTCCAGCGGAAAAAAATCTGCACAAATCCTACAGAATGACTTAAGGATTTATTTTAAGGTTTTTTGCACTTTTTCCACCTTTATTATTACTGCCCTTATGATAAGGAATGTGTAATGTTTGATTTTCAGAACTACCCCTGCTAACGGACATTTGGTGTTTCACTAGATCTCTAACCAAAGAGATTGCAAAAGATATCATAACTCCATAAAGAAATGCATTTGGTAGCCATTAATCACCTTAAGATCAAATGCTACATTTTTCCTTGTTGACATGATTTAAAATATCCCATTGTAGCAAGTCATGGGATTGATGCCTGTTGCTACAATCAAGAGACAGAGTTCAGGATCCAGGAGAGGCTCTGTAAAACCAGGGGTCTAGTTCAGAACAGCAGTAGGCAATATTTTTTAAAAAGCCACAGAGGTTAGAAATAATGTTTAAAGAATATTCTATTAGTATTAGATGCTACTGTAAAGAACAAGGCCAGCAGAGAACTGAACGCAATATGAAAAGAGTATCATTTCTTTTAGCATACTATCATCTAGGTGAAACATGATTTGGTAGGCTTTGAAACATTGTGTTGGTAAATGGTAATGGAAGAAGAGTGTTCTGTATAAGCAGGCTCTTCTATTGCCTGAGTTCTGTTGACCCCTAACACTGGGGGATGGAAGTAGCGGGGACTTGCATCCCTTACTAACATTCATGAAGACTCTTAGCAATCTAAGAATAAGACCAGAGTACAATCACTTAAAGACATCACAAATGCACAGTTTTCTTGAAAAGGCACTCAATCATACAACATATATGTCAAATCTTGGGTTGAAAGGCCACATTTCCACCCAAGATGCTCCTTACCCACTACAGACAAACGCACAACCTTTCAAAAGGCCGTGTACTTTGCATACTGGGGGAGAAATAGCAAGCTGTAGTTTGCTGCCTATCCATCAGATTGGATGACCAATAGTTAAGGATTCTTTGGGAGATAATGCTGGTTCTGAGCAATCAGACAAAGTCTTCAAAGTCTATGGTAGGCAGGGTTGATTTCCAGTAACAGAACTGGCTGAACTCCGGACGAGCCAGGGAAGCAACGACATCCTCACCAATAGGTGGAAAGAGAAATTCTACCACCTCACCCAGACGCTCATACCTAGAAGAAGAGGACATGAACAATTAAAAACAGCATCTTTTCTTGCCTATTTATACTTTCCCTCAGAGAACACACCTCTCCTAAATTTTACTAAGGAAACAAATATCATTTACTTATTTTATTTAAATATTATTTTAACATTAATAAGTGTATTTACTTATACACTTATTATGTTCACCCCATGCACATGCAACTGAACTATGGATCTCACATTACATCCATTACGGAGATTTCCAGCAATAGCGGTAATCTATCATAAGCTTTCTTGTCTGCTCTTATCACTTCTAAGAACACTTGCCATATAATAAGTGACATCACAATTACTGTTTCCATAATTTCCTCTACATATGCAGGTGCAAGTCTGAGGGCCCAGGGCTACATGTGGCATCTAAGCCTCTCCAAAAGTTGTAAAAATTATAAACACAAATGCAACAGAATGGGAAATAGTACTCTGTCGTAAGTTTAATAAACCCTGGATTTATTAAATCTAATATATATTTAAATAACACAAATTTTATTTTTGCCCTGGCTGTTTTTACTTTCTAGAATGCATCGTACAGCATTCCATCCAAATCCAGCACAGATGTGGAAAACTGCATGTCTGTGCTGCATACGATTGAATGATGCTGGTAGACAGGAAAGAATGTTTCAGCTGTATCACATGGTGAAGGGAGAAGCCCTCTCACTGCATAGTTTTGCTATATTAGCTACTTAGATTTTTTGTTTGAGCACATTGTTCTGCAAGGAGCTTTACAGACTGCAAAGGAATGGGCTGATTTGCAAGCTTACGTGGATTTTGTAATTTTTATCAGTTCCTGGGTCAACTCCCCTCTGGGGTTCACAGTGAATATACGGGATTCTGGTAATGCCACTTTTTTGTAGGCATAGACATCCTGTTCAAGAAACCACAAGCAGGATACAAATCAGAATAATGCAGAGTTTCACCAAGGTAAGCAACTCCCTTTATTCATATTCCTCATACCACTGATACTCACACTTAGTCTGTTCCCAAAAGCAGCATGGAAGGGCTGGCTGTTGGAATCAAATAAATTTTGGATGTCTGCCAGACAGGCAATTTTGAACACTTCCGGCTTCTTCTCAATCACTTCCCTATAACGCAGTGGATAAATAGGTCACTAAGGTGAACTGCTTCTCCCTCCCTCTTCCTGATCAAATACTTACAGATTCAAAAAGAGGGGGAAGTAATTATTAGTTTCTCGGCAATCAGTACAAAAAAGCATGATTAAAAAACAGAATTCAGGATGAGGTCATGATGACCAGGTCATCATAAGCATGGCACAGCTTTAGCTCCCATTGGGATTTCCCAGGAATACTCCTTCAGTTTCTCCTTATCATTAGTTATTATGGCAAAATATGAAGTGTTGATTTCCAGCACCTGATTGTCAGGGTAGACTGTAATTCAAGATGCAAACCAAAATTTTAATGTATAGCATTCATCTTTCTCCTTACATGAAATCATAAACAATGAATTCCAGTTCATAATTACTCAAATATCATGTCATTGTACTACTTTGCATCCCTATTATCCCTGAAGAAAGCTGTGCTCACACAAATTAAGGCACCCAGCATTACATGGAAAGGCTTACCTATGGAATGCTGAGAAGAGGCTGCTAGGTGCAAGCAGGATGGGTCCTTTGGGGAGCATCCAACCTTGGTCATTGACACATTCTAAATATCCTTTGGTGATGTGTGCCATGCCAATAGCTCTGGCTGAACAATAGAGAAACTTGTACCCGTTGCTAGAATGGAGATGATAACAGATGAAATGAAACCATTTTGCTTAACACTCTACTCATCTGATCTCTCCCTCCAGTAGGAATGGTGCAACTGCTTTTGTTCCCAATCAGCACTTACAACTGGGTCAGAGGGTCACACATTTGAAAGTAGTAGAGCAAAGTAATATTTTAAGAGTATTTCTCATAGACCTCTCCACACCAAAAACATTTCTTCTTTCAAATAACTCGTTCCCTACAGAAAAGTGTCCTTTTCTGTTCAGCTTCAGGCCACTGTCTTCTCCCCTCCAAGATCCCAGCAAATCTGGGATCATATAATAGATAGAATGTTGCCAGTCAAATTTGGCTTCACACTATGGTGTCACTGTAGGCAAATAAGGTGAACAAATTACTATGAAGACAATATTCCATGTGGTATTGTTATGTAGGCAAAGGCTCCTTCAAGTTAAGCTCCACTCCTGGAAATTTTTGAGACATGTTTTGGGCAACAATACAGAAATGGTTTGCCATAGTCATCTTCTGGGATGTTTTTTCAACTTCCCAGTCTAACCTAGCCCTGAGATTTCCTGGTGGCCTCACACCCAAGCACTAACCAGGCCCACCCCTGCTTCACTTTTGGAGGGATTCACTCAAATCAGCAAAACACTGCTATCTGGCTAAGTTAATCATGTAGGCATCAAATATCAAATAATCGCGATATCAAAAGCAGTGCTCTGTTCAGGACAATGCTTTCTGAAGAACTGAACAGCAACAAATGTGGGTGATGAATGCATTTGTAATAGTTTGGCCCAAATATTGACTATCCCATCCTCTTTCCTTCTTTATTGCAAAGCTTCATGCTATGAGCTTGTGGTGATGAGATTCCATCCTTTCTTTCTATATAGCATTATATACACTGAATGTTGTATATAAATGTCACTTCATGACATTTTCCCTTGTTAATTTGCTTTGTACATATTCTAATTCTGCATAAAGATAAAAATGTACTTTCCATGACCAACTGTATGGTACCAATCGAGGTGAATATGTGTAGCTCAGGGCTGAACTGTGGAGTCCTTGGGGTTCTCTGAGCTTGGT